CCCATGAACGTCTTATAGCAAAAAGGACAATAGACAAGGACTTTTGAAACAACTAAGCCATGAATTCATCAAAAGCTACAAATCCTGCCACTTTAGAAGCGCTTAGAAGACACGTCGCTATCGAAAATACTGAGAAACATAGTTTCTTTCAAGCTATTCTTTTTTTAAATAGCTATAAGGTTGAAGATTACCACGAAACATTTGGGTGCAGAAACTCTACGCCGGAAACACAACACCACAGCTTGCAAGGAGCTATTAGGATGTACGAAAAGTTGTGGTATATTTTTGAAAGTTCCATTTTTTGACCAATTTCTGTCGTTTTCTAATGATAGCGTTGTATATATTTATCTAGTTTATGAGGACGTCGATGAGAACTATGAGAGTGAAGGTGCTGGTATGGCGACAAAATCAGCTGTGGGGTACATAGTTCAAGCGATTCAAAGTAGGCAGATTTGCCCTCGAAGACGTGCTTCGTTCTGACCAGCCATCTTTTTTAGATGAAAATGACTTCCAAGCCGTTTTGGATGGTGAGCAGTTCATCGAGCAGTCGTAATGCTGGAGAACTAGGTGTTTCGCGGACGGACCGTTTTCAACAAGTTTCACCAATTTGACTTTCTCCGCAATCTTGCAGAACGTTGGCAGAAAGTCGTGAACAATAGTGGTCTATACTTTGAACATTGGTTATTGTTACTTCTGCTATTATCTTGCGCATGGAAACGAGACTTTATGAGTTTCCCTTGATTTTTCACTCAACTATTATAGGTGGTGCCAAAAAAATGGCAAATAGTGCCCAAGAAGTGGTGGTCATAGTTAATTGGTCATTGATGTGTTTTATCGAGTTGCGGATTTAAATCTATACTCTCTTATTTCTTCACTAATGGCTTGAAATTGAAGTTGGAATAACTCATCTCATTATTGAGAAAACTCACATTTTATTAACCATTTATACCATTATCAGAAACCACAATTCATCATGTTATAATCCACATAGGCCGTAAGATTTGAGTAGCCTGAGCGACATCAAATTTGACAGCGCACCATTAGTATGGGAAAAAATCTGATATTTTCCTATCACAATCGGTTCCTCCTTGTGTTGATATGATAAATGCATGATTCAGCCGCTCACAAATAAGGCAGGTAACTGTAAGATATGGATTTTCCACAGTGACCTGCTCTGAAAGAGAGCGCAGAATTTTCTGCAGTTCGTTTCAGTGCATTTGGAGCCCGAGATTTTTTTCTCAACCTAGTAATAATAAACCAAATGCTAATAGAAATGTTGTTATGTGATTGATGATCATACCGCATGGTAAACAGTATATAAGTGATAAAACAATAAAGCTCTCGGCTTTGATCAATCTCTGAGGAATGGGCCATGCATTCCTTTCCAATTTTTACCTTCGTTTGAGGTGATTTAATGCATATCTGACCTTTGCAATGGCCGGCCGTGGCCACCCGCTGTATGGAGTCAGTGGTGCTTATCCTCCCAAACAAATCCGAGACCAGTCTGATACGAATTTACCGACAGCGGAGGTTTGGTTGTTTCAATGAGCGCCAGATCAAACCATTGACCTCGTGTGCGACGCAGAGCACCTCTAGCCATTACGTCACATTGACTTTTAACAGTATATAGATGCGACGAATTCAAGAGTTCATTTCATCGAAAAAAGTTGAAAAGGTCGCCAGATCATTATATAACAGCGATTTGAGCTGCTATTAGCTCACGCCGCACTCCGTGTATGCGGCGACGCGGCGCGGCGCAAGTTTTTATGATCACGCCTTGCAATGGAAATTTGGGAATTTGTTCGGTAATCTAAGGCAAGGAGGAGATAATATCGTGATTAAGTGGAGGAATATAGCAGAAGAGACCTCTATAAAAACTTTACAGTTAGAAGAATGCCCATGTATTGAATAATCTTGGTTTCAACGGTGAAAGAGCATTGCTGTGAAAGGGAACATATTCCCAACTGTTATATAATTTCGCTTCTTTCTTTTTCATACATGTTTTTTAGTCTTTTGATAGCTTGCAAGATGCCTATTCTTCCGCTAAGTTCACTTTGTGAAATGACTTTTGTTTTCCTTTTGTAACAAAAAAAGCTAACGTTATGTAAGCAAACGTCCGTTTTAGTGAGTATCTGCCCTTTCCCTTGAGATTCGAGATCTTAGGATAAAGTATCGCCATTGTTTTTGCCACAGATAGCTTTATCGGTGATTCCTCTACCATATTTCACCATTTATTGGAAATGAAATTCCCTTTATGACGATAAAAATCCACATTTTATTAGAAAACTACCACAACGCCATTGCAACTGCCGCGCAAGATTTCAACGTCGTTTTCAACGTATTAGAAACATTTAGTCCGAGAAAAAGTGGCTTTTTGGCTAACACTAATTCGTGCGTGGTCATAGCTGCAGCTGTCGCGACCTAATATAGCCGTTGGCTCGGTGCTCAAACATATTGCTCGTATTCCACTGGGTGGAACATAAAAAAAGCCTCTGCAGTCCGAAACGTATTAGAATTGAATGATAATGAAAATACACTATGATCTCTGTTCTTTCAGTGGTCTTCAATAGATATGCAGCTACAATTTTACTATATAATCTGTTTTGCCTATTCAACATCACGATGAAATTTTGATTCTGTAGTCGAAGTGGGAAATATCATACCATTAGCTTTTTACCAGTTTCCTAGCCATATAGTAAAGTAAATGATAGAATCTATTATCTAGAACATTTTTAAACGACATGTATACAGATTTGATGGATATTTTTCATCAAATACTAGGTTGGAAAAAGTGTTCTCGGGCACTGTAGTAACTATGAGATAACTTCCATGCATATCCTGAGAAAAATACACTTTTCATGTAGGATTTTCCCACTGAAAACCTAGATATTATTCACCTTTGTTTTCACTTTATTACTGGCCTCCACTATGTCCACCAATACAATCGAAGTTCGTGTTTATAACGTCACTATTTGAGAAAGGGTCTTTTATAGCGGCCTGCTGTCGATGAAATCAAAAACTGAAGGGGAAATCGACCGATTGCAGAAAGTCGTAGAAAACGATGAGCTTTACTTTGAAAAATAGTTGTTATTGTTTTTGTTAGAAAACTTTCAAGTTTTTACAACTGCTCAGAACATTCTTTCCAATAGTTTCAAAGAGAACATTTCTAATAGTGACTCAAGAACTGCATTAACTAGATACAGATACCAATTTAAATTAGAAAAAAATTTCTTCAGACTATCACAGTATTACTTTTAATACACCATTTTTCTCCTTCTCCAAAGTTAGAGAAAAACGCATCAAAAGAGAGACAATGAGATCTAGTCTTGCCTGAGTTAATTGATACCGTGCTATGAGTCAGGTGGCACAATTGTTTTCACTATGCAGCTGACATTTAATTAAAATGTCAGTTACAGGATCCCAATAGAGACTACAAACGTATGGATATGAAGTAAAAAGCGAAAAAAATTATATCAATAAGTTGTGGAAGAGTTCTGTCGTATTGCTCGAAGAAATGACTTTTACATACATATTTTGCACGAATCCGAGCTCATTAAAAAGTTCGTTTTCTTCCACGTCGGACGATATATCATCAATCTACACAACTTTCGGAATGGAACAACCCAAGGAAAAATTCGTCTGCTGTTCGACTTCCACTATAAATTTGGTGTCAACGCTTCCGAAGCTCATCGAGAAATCAGCAAGGCGTATGGTGACGAAATTTGCGATGTTCGTACAGCTCAGCGTTGGTTCACGACATTCCTTGAAGAAGGAGACCAATTGACTCACAAATCAAAAGCGGGACCTCCACGAAAAGTAGCTTGCCAAGCAGTCATCAATCCAATTGAAAAAGATCCATAGATGAGCTATCGGAATTTGGCTAAAGAGTTTGATTGTCGTCCAATCACGGTGTGAATGAAAACCACCGACCGTGAATTTGTCTTTTGTTTGAGCTTAACTAGAGCACAAAGAAGTTTTTTTATGCACTTTGAAAATTGGTACAACCTTTTACAACCTGTTAGCCATTGAATAGGATTCCTTTAGACGAAATGGAATGAAATTAATTTAATGTTTCAGTCAATTATTCCTCTATGTCATTTTACTAGATGTTGATGACGGAAGAAATGAAAAAAGGGGGTTAGTGAAGTGATTTCTCTTTATTTAATCGACAAATTCTCATTGAAGCGGAAATCAGTAGCATGAATTCTAACCAACTCCTTGATTTCAAATTATAACATTCTATCACTGTGTATAAGCGGGGAGACATGGGCGTACGAAGGTACTGAGGTGTATCCTCGATGATCTACCTTTTCACTAAAATTAATTCATCAATACCCATCCTCTCAAAAAGGAACAAATCTTCAGCCGGTGTCTGACATCTTTATTTAGTTTATTTATGCATATTTAGTAATTCAATGGCCTGAGAAGCCTCAAATTTAAAAATAAGTTTGGTATACGAATGGACTCTCATAAAGTCCTAATAACGGAACGAAGACAGCCTTTGGCTTGCGAAGTATGTAAACACGTTGCTCCAATATCACAAAAGATTGGTAGTACATGTATAGTATAATTTTGATTCTAAGCAAAACTTATTTCTATGTAGAGATACCTTTGGTGTACAGTATCAACGAGGAAAAAATACCTCTCACCTTAGGAGCTATAAAACATATTGTATGAACTTCACAGTGAATTTTTGAATACTCATAAATTCTAGTGTTCTACCTGCTTTTTTCGCAGTGTTATGATATTACATATATACCTAAGAGAATCGATTGGTGAACAAAAACATGGCCTCAAGCGGGAATCGAACCCGCGTTTCTTCCACACCGAGGACGCGTGCTCTACCACTACACCATCGAGACGCATTTGCCCAACCACTTATTCTTCAACATCTCTATGTTTCCAATCAGCCACCAACCTCCAACAGGTTTGGTCAGGACGCGTACTCTAACATCTAACATTGAGATATTGACGAATGAGTTGAGTGGTGGTGTGATTGTACCTCAGTGGTGTAGTGGTAGCACGCATCACCGCTATGGATGAAACGGAATTCGATCCCCGCCTGAGGCCGTATTTTGCTCATCCTTCAATTCTCTAAGGTATAATTGTAACATCACAACACTGCGAAAAAAGCAGAAGAAATACTAGAATCTCGGAGTATTAGATCTAATAATGGGTGTCAGCTCAACTGAGTTTATAAAACGAAATCGCATACCCGACCAAACCTGTTGAAGGTTGGTGGCTGATAGCTAACATGGAGATGTTGAAGAATGAGTGGTCGGTAAATGTGCCTCAGTAGTGTAATAGTAAAGCACGCGTTCCCGGTATGGATGAAGTGTGGATTCGATTTCCACCTGAGGCCGTGCTTTTGCTCACCATCAATTTTTGAATTGTGATATAGTAAAGCTTAGCTGATTGAGGCAATTCGTCGTTATAAAAAGATGCATTTTATCGATGCAATTTTTCAAAGATTTTCTTAACAAGAAAGAAGCCCCACGTTTTAGCAATCCACATTTCTGAATGGTAAAGTGACCTCGTTAGGAAATGGATATATTTTCAATAAACACTTTTTCAACTTTTTTGGGCATCTTGTCTTGCATAAAATTTCTTGGCGTAAGAGAAAAAGATACCCAGTGAATGTGTTCCATAATTCTATAATGGTTCCAACTCCTGAAGTTCCCAGTTAATTATCAAAATTCATTGAGAATTATCTAAGTAACAGCGAATGCAGCGCGTAGCTTCATTTTTGTTGAACTATTCATTGCTTTAAATTATTAATCACCATGATCACTTTTTGGTAATGTGTGAAATGAGACGATATCGAAACCATAAGATCTACACCGTAATACTCAATTTCTAAAGCACAAAAGGCACTACAATTGATCATTTGACAATTTTTTCATTTGCGGATACGTACTAAGCTGAATTGTTGTCGACATGATAGACAAAAGATAACTATGACTGCAGTATAAATCAGATAAGGACGGATTTTCAATAACAGTCCAAGATACGACCTTTTTGTAAGCATTTGCTTTTCCTTTGAGAAATGAGGTGCCTAAAAAGAAAATTTGGCATTGCTATTGCATTACCGATCGCTTTATTGAAATCTCTTCTAATTTCACCACTTACTAACGTTAGACCTTCCTTTAATGACGATAAAAATCCAATTTTTACTAGGAAACTACAACATCGTCGTGGGAGCGCGCCTTGCTCACTCAGTGAGCCTGTCGCGTACGAGATGCGCGAAAGCATAAAGGTTAACTGCTCATTCGACCTTATAGGTCATAACAAATCGGTTGGTCGGCTGTCAATTTAGTTATAGGAAGCGGTGTCAAGAAATGCCACCTCCTTTTGCTCAACAAGAACTCGTAGACCACCACACCTTATACTAATGAGGTGGGAACTTCTTAGAAGTGCAATTTCTTGACTAGCACAAGAGGAATAAGAAATTACCCCGACGAATATTAGCATTCGAACACAGAGGAAAGGTCGATGTTCATAATAAAAATACTTCTAGGCACTTTCTCTATTTCATGAACTGCGCAATGGATCCATAATCTTGAGATACCTGTTCACAGCGTCTTTACTGACTACTTCTTATTGAATCATTATTAATTGCAGTGCTACGCTGTGACACTTCCAAGTTATTCGGTTCAAGTCTAATTATGGAATGGAAGAAGTCATAAGGAGTCTCACACGATACTAAAAAGTCTAATAAGATATCTTTGAGATACTTTTTCTGGTCGTTCCATTAACTTTTCCATTTCATTAATTCCTTGCTCTGAAAACAATTGTATGAATCCTTCATCATTTATAGTCATGTCAGTTTTGGGTGAATTCAGCGAGCAAATGGACCTTCCATTCTCCTCCTCTTCTGAACTGAAATACTAACACGTAGTTTTCACTTCGCACTGAGAAGACCGTCATGTTAAAGCATGAGGTTCTGTGCACTTCGATTGATCGTTGCGCTCACGGAAGAGAAAAAATGAAGCTCTCGGCGTCGATAATCCCCTGAGGGGCTTAGGCTAGCTGAGTCTTGAGCGCGCAATCAAACCATCAGTCGATGTCAAGTCTGACAATTCATTAATTGACTACGTGTGTGTTACAGAGAACCTGCAACTACTGCACCTCAAGCGCTCAGTTGAGTAAAGAAAACACGGAGTACGGAATTTTACTCCACCAAGTGATCTACAGTTCATGCGCATTTTAAAGTCCTTACAATACTTCGTGCACTCTGGAAAGATGGTAAGCTAAATCAGCATTTACTATTAGATGCGGTCAGTTCAGGTGTGATCCAAAAGTGCTAATTGAAGTCATTTAGTAGTTAGCGAAATGTATGGAGGTGAAATTTAGAACTTCTAGTTGAAGTGTACTTAGTAGTATTTGGTCCTCAGTCTGCAGCCTGTCATTCATGGTAAAAGGAATGCAATCGAGTCCATTTCAATATTAAACGGTAAGCTTTTTTTTTTTAATCTGAACGGAGACAAATGCTTGGTTCTAGCCTGAGACAAAATGAGGCTGATCTCAACAACTTCCGCTGATCCGGTTGAATTAGAATCAGCAAAACAAGCTTCTCTCTCCCTCCTTCCCTCCCCTCTCTATCTTTCTTCCTCTCTCTCTCTCTCTCTCTCTCGTTCTTTCTTTCTTTCTTTCTTTCTCTCTTTCCAGAATCTCACAATATTTATGCAGTGGTTGTCTAAGTCGCCATCACAGACAATTGCTGGTTGTTGCGGATCAGAGAATGATTCGTCGCCTTATGACTTATTATGTTGAAGAAAAGGCGTTGGTTTCCAGTGTCGGAGTGGTGAATACGTCGAATATAATCAAGCGAAACTGCGACATAAAACATTGGAAAGACCAAAGAACAAATGTGCCATTCAACATAGCTTGGAAATTGGGTCCTATACATACACGGACGCGAAATGATTATTACTAAGCCAGAATAAATTGTTCTCAATCAGATAAATACAGGGATTAGATGCACTAAATGCTATTATTTGCTGTACTAATACATCTAGTCCTTGATCACATTAATTACCAACAAAAATAATCTGTTATTATAGAATACTAGTTACAGCCTGATAATGATTATTGGCAAGGGACAAGGTGAATAATAGTTAAGCACACAAATTACTAAAAAAATCGGTAAACATTTCTTAAGAAGAGGAGGTAAAGATGAGAAAACGAGCACAAAATAAATTGTGCCTTCGGAGTAGCTCAGAAATAAGCGGAAAACGAGAAGTATTTACACTGCAGACAATAATGTTGTAAAATCTTCTCAATTGTGGTCATGTTAATATTTCGTAGGTGGTTTTGCGATATTGCTAGCTCACATTTAGCCGATGATGCAAACGTAAGTGATAACTAAGCATAATGAGACGTAGCCGCGATCTCACATGGAGCTACTGAGTCCGAAAAGAGGAAAATGCCAACAGAAGGTGCCAGTCCTGTTTCATCTTTATTTTCGTCTTCACAGTTTAATAGTGCATGCGCATTTAGGCAAGATATGCATTCAATTACGTTTGACAGTGCTCGATGAAGACGATTGCATAGGGGATCATTCAGAGTCTGATCAGAGTCAATTACCTTGACCTATTCTATTAGTTGTGTTTTTGCGAGGTTTTGAAAACAGTCGATGTTATGGCTCAATTTTTTTTGAATCATTAGAAACTTTCTACATAGCTTTGAGATTGCGAGAACATCCCTCTGTTTTGTTCTGTATAGGCCATCTAAGAAGAGGGGTGACGACAAGACGACACCATCTCACCACAATTTTTTACTGCCGCGCTCCACAATGCGAATGTGGCGCAATGGTTAGAGGTGCTCTGCTCGCACACAGGAGGTCAGTGGTTCAAACTCGCGCACACGGCTCACCAAGCTGTGCATTCCTCTGAGATCGGTAAATTGGTACCAGGCTGGTGTCAGACTTGTTTGGGAGGATAAGTAGCACTGACTCATCTCAGCGGGAGCCACCGTGAGTCGTTGTAAAGGCCAGATATGCATTCAATCACCTCAAGCGAAGTTAAAAATTGACGACAAATGCTGGCGCAATCCCTTAGGGATTGATCATTGCCGAAGGCTTCATCCTTTATTCTCTTGTGCTCTACAACATAATACGAACGTTAGGTTGGGACAGCATGGGAGTGAAAACCGACAGTTGCAGCTACACCACTTTCGCTTCGCTGGTGACATCGCTCTTATAACACCAAGCATGAGTCAGTAGCAACGAACGTTGAGCGCTTCGACAACGCCTGTGGAAAAATTGGTCTTCGACCACATCTAACGAAAATGATGTTTGGAACAATGAATTGACTAAAAATACCCATCCACGCTCAACGGAATGAATTTTTCCGAATGCTCTACGTCTATCTAAGTCAAAAAGTCAACATGATGAACGATCCTGCTCCAGAGTTGAGCAGAAGGCGAGTGGTTTGGGTAGCGTTTAGAACAACTAGGATATATGGAAATCTAGAAAGAACATTCGACTCAACTTTCACTTTTTCGAAGCGGTTATCCTTGGTTTAACGTACAAACAGAAATCTGTCGCTAAGTAAGCTGGATAAAAAGTTTCTAGGCGTTCATTAACTCGTGGTGAAAAGGCAACCGCTAGGATCATTCCGCATCTCGCAAATGAGAGAAAGGATTCGAAGTTGTGACATACGTCAACGGTCGAAATCAAAGATGTCGTTCTACACGCCAGGTAATAAAAAAAAGAGTGGGTCAAACAAGTAATGCGCCCTAATGGCAGCCAATGGACGAGAGCCGTTGCCGACGGATTCCTTGGGGTGACGAGCGCACCACAGAACGAGTACCAACCCGATGGTCCGATTTCTTCACGAGGAGCCTAGAACAAAGGTATGATAAGAGGCATGATGCTCAGCGAATTCTCAAAGCCAGGACGACCCACTGGGTTACTCCAGCATGCATGAGGGAAAATGGAAGTATTAATGGTGTCCGCTCGATTCACTAAACGATCAACAAGACGACAAGTGATACAGGTGATAAGGTCATGAAAAGCAGTCGGCTGTCTGACTATGTGTACTATGGTCATCCCAGTTTTACGGCTTACGTCATTTCACCACAAAATGAGGATATCTAATGTCCTGCACATTAAGAATCAGTGTCATGCAGCGGTGTGTGGCAAAAGGCGTCCTTCAAACCTTGTTTTCTTTGATACCATTGCTGTTAATTCATCACTCTTTACACCTTTTCGAGGAGTTTCCTTTTTCCAAGATTTCTTCCAAAACTACGTCTTTCTTGATAGTTCGCTCTTTATGTATTCAAGCTTGAGCATCAAAATGAACGTTGTGTCTATTCCTATCTACAACGTCTCTGAGAAATTAGACGTTTAGTTGAGCCTTA